TAGTTGAGTGTGACAAAACTTTAACATGCTGAGTATCAGTTACAATACCAGAAAGCTTATAGTAAACAAAAAAACATCATCTTCACATCAATAGGACATACAAGCATAACACCTTATACTAGTTGGCCACTCATAGGAGAAAATGCTCTAAAGGTCTCAACTAATACTTAGGAACACAAGATTGCGCAAGTCAAAAATACAATAGAGTTACAAATAGCATGGGAACAGGTCATAACTTAACAGTAGAACTCCAGAAAGATAGTAGGTTGGGCATAAATTTCACAATAGGGATTAGAACACATTCTAGGTATGAGTTGGTTATTCGTAATAGTACAGGACAAGGCAAGAAACCAAACTCAGAATGAGCAATAGTGATAAACATCCGAGCACATACATTAGCAGGCAGGCATAAGAAGGCAGAATCAAAGTAATAAATAGACAAGTTGAACTACTAGAAGGCATAGAGCCTCAAGAAGAGCTTCAAAAAATATAATGGCATGTTGATTCATACAAATTCTTAGAGACATAGATGTGTAGAGCAGGAATACAAACGGAAAGAAATGAAATTGCAAGAGTCATATATACATTACCAGTTACAGAAGAACAAGTAAACAAGAGGAGTAATTTTAGCAACACTTCAGTGTTAATAGCAAAACGAACATTAGAACCTAGAAATCTCAGTGCGTCAGAGTTCTCAAGGATTTCGAATGAACCCTGGGCAGTGCTCACACTGAGAAAGGGGTGGCCTTGACTTTCAGCCGGCCAAAAGATGGAGCCTCAGAATAGTATAAGACAAGAAAGAATAAGAGAACAGTAGTAGTTTTTAGCGATTAGAGTCTCTCCAAAGGGGAAATTGGGGAGGGGATTATATAGTATCAAAATCAAGTACCCAAACAAGGAAAGACAGTCGATTAAACACAAATAAGGAAAATATATCATGCAAAATCAATTAGAATCAATTTAGGAAAATCCGGCAAACCCTAGTTTAAAACGAAGAACAAAAATAGTAAAAACCTCACTGAATCGGACCCATAGGGCCTGGTAGTAGGTGTATATAGACGAAATATCATCTAAATCTCGAACGTCTGGAGATGGTTGCTTGATTTAGAACCGTATACTTGCCAAAGATAGACAAGCATTATGCGATACCAATACCATATAAATAACGGAGAGATCGAGCATATATGGAAGGAAAATCATGGGGAGATTCCATATTAGAACTAGGATTGGGGAAGATTGAGGCGGCTGTTAGGGTTTGAGAGGAGAAGATGAGAGTAGAGAGGATTTAGGGGCGGCTATCTCTAAAGAATGGGAATAAGGTTTGGGGGGGATATAATTAAAAAGGGCGGATGGTTTATGGGACCGTTGATCTCTGAGATCAACGGCCAAGATTAAAAGAAGAATGGGGCGGGTCATGGAGATGGATCCCGACTGGTTTAGAATTAAAGGGCTCGTCTGGTTTGGACTGGGGTATTGGGCCATGGTCTCTTGAGGTCTGGGCTGGTATTTGGATCCAGAAATTGGCTTGGAATATGGCTATGAAATTAAATATGCAAAACTTATTTAAAAATAATTTATAAAAAGTGATTAATAAATAATAAAAATATTATTTATGCAATAAAATGATTGAAAGTGATATATTAACAGTACAAAAATGTAATAAATTCTAATAATATAATAAATATCAATTATGCACAGAATATAGACAATTATTGTAAAATTCTGTATAATTATGTAAAATATCTCTAAATTACAAATATAATTATTTGAAACAAAGTAAAATATTATGAAGCATAGATGTGGATACAAATAATGAATTTGGATGATTAAGTCAACACAAAAAAAAAATAAAGGGTAATTAATAAATATTTGAACAATTTAAATGCAAGAAATCAATTTAAAAGCTTCAAATAATTATGAAAATTATAGAAAATACTTGTATAACTCTTGTAAGTCAAGTAATTATGCAAAATAATATTTTGAGAGTATATCTACTATTTGAAAAAATATGATGGCAAAATTGGGTATCAACATAATTCATTAGAGGGGTGGGGTTGGTTGGGAAGTCCATCTTTTGTGCCTTCTCTTTCCCCTGAGTAGGCATTACAACTTTCTTTTTTCCTGGGTTCTTCATACTTAGTACAGGGGTCAGAGTTAGCAGTGGCTTGAGAACACCCTGCTTGTGAGGATCATTGATTGCTATATATGAGTAGCAAAGGTTGCCAGGGCCTTGTTCAGAGCCTCCATGGTCACCTTTGTTAGATGCGCTGGGTTCTGGATGATTAGGGTAACCGGTTGATTCCCTAAGAGGAAATTGTAAGCTAGACCCTGGCCCTGCAAAGCTAGTTCTAGCCAAGATACATGTGCGTGGTCCGGCGGTAGTGGGGTGTAGTTACGAGGATGGGTTGTTCTGTGGGTGTTCCATTTTTGGGGTTTTTGATTTGCCTCTTTGGGTAAAAGCGGGGGTTGGATTGGAATGTGGATGCATAATAGAGAGTTTAGTGCTCCTTGTCAAATCATTTTTGGTCTACAGATCTTTGAGATTTGCGTCTAATACCGGAGATTTAAAATTAATTGTGTATTCGTTTGAGTGAACGAAAGTTGTCATATCTCCTGAGATTGGGTGCTTTCTCAAGTGATGCACTTGAGTATCCATGGATTGTGGTGAGGTTATTTCAGCAGGTTGCTCTGGTATGGGATGATCAAGGGTTGAGTAGGTATTGGGGTAGGGTGTATCATTTTGGTGGGCATTTACCAATTGGGGATGGTCCACGGTAGTGGGCGATATGGGTAGCTGATGGCCCAAACCACTTTGGATTGTCAGGCCCAGGCCTGATCTTTGTTTCGTGATAAGGGCCGCACTATTTGTGTTTTGGGTTTGGGTAGGGCATGCATTGGTACCGTACTTGTTTCCTCCTGCCCCGGTCCCAGTTTCCTTGTTGCATTGTACTAGGGTTGTTCCTGTATGGAATGGGCTTGCGGGGAAGAGGTATTGGATTTTTGTTGGTTAGACAAATTAATAGGCCGTTGATGGTTATTGGCCTTATTAGCATGATTCTTAGTATTATATTTAAAGGTTTTAGTTCATAGGAACTTACTAGAATTAACATCAAACATTTTTACCCGACTTTTTTGTATTGATTCTTTAGTCTGGTTAGTAGTTCTCGTCACTTTGCTTTGCTCTTGCATGAGCGATTGAATTGGTTTCCTTCTCCTTGGAAAGGTTACCATTTTCCATTCCTCTTTGACCTCTTGCTTGTTGCGCGTTTTATAGCATTTTGGTACTTCTTGTGGTGGTGTTGCCGCTCTGTCTGTGGGTACACGATTCCAGGGTGTGTCCTACTCTGCCACAACCTTTACAAAAAGTTCCCCCCCCCCCTCGTAGATACTGCTTGTTTGTGATCTCCAATAACGACAGATGTTTCCACCGGAGTTTCGAAAGGCACTTGGATACAGATTCGTGCATACCTCCCCCTTAGGGTAGAGGACGTGCACGTGTCTATTTTGAGTAGTTTGCCTAGTTTCCTTCTAACTTTTTCCAAAATTTTTTTATCCTAGAACTCGGTTGGCAATTGGGGCAAACGATTCCAAATGGCAGTGAAGGATAGAGTTGCCTCTTGTGGAACGAATTTGGGTTCCCATTTTCGGACTGAGAAAGTTCCCAAATATGAACCAAGGACCTAGGTGTAGTGCTTTAACCATATTCTCCTCCAATCCGAATTCGACTACGAAGAAATTTCATCCTAGGTCAATCAAGATTAACTATTCAAATGGATTCCAAATGTCAGTTAGTCTGGATCGGAGGAAATGGTCGGGCATTCTACGAGCAAAGACTTTTATGATGACGGAGAAACGCCAAGGATGGTATAGGCAATTTTTGTCTTCCTGGGTTAGGGCTATTGGGCCATCATTTTCTTTTCCTTTGTCATCGTTATTGTTTGTAGGGGGTTCTTCCCCGTAGTATTTGGATTGAGTTGTTTCTTATTTGTCTAGGAGCATTTTCTTGTAGGAGTGAGATGAGGTGTCTTCTACCTCCATGTGATTATTATGGTCCGGTGGTTCCGGTGGAATATTTGGTGGTTGTGTCCTTTTCCAAGTATTCTAGAGGGAAGTAAGAGTTTCTCTCTCTTAAGTGAACCTTATGCGTAAGGAACCAAAAGAAAAAGAATAGCTACATGTCATCATTTCTACTTTGTTAAAACGAGAAGGATTTATACTACTTATTTTCTTATTTTTGTTGTTATATTTTTCTAGCACATTTAAATTCCCCTCCACAAAGATAAAAAGAACAAGGGCACAATTGTCTCATTTCGAATTATGCAGAATTAGCCTTTTTCCGTTCCGAAAAGGATATTTTTGAGCTATTTGGCTAGTTGAGAGTGTAAATTTTAAGCTAATTGACTATTGAGGAGGGAATTTTTGTGTCAAAAAGGCAAAAACAAAACAACAACAACAACAACAACAACAACAACAATCCAGTGTAATCCCACAAGTGGGGTCTGGGGAGGGTAATATGTACGCAGACCTTACCCCTACCCTGAGGGGCAGGGAGGCTGTTTCTAGAAGACCCTCGGCTCAAGACAGCAACAAGAGACGATATATTAGTACTATCAATAGACTCATACTAAAATAACATAAAATACATAACACAACATAAAATAACAAAATAACATCAATATAAGAAATATAGGAAATACGAAAAGGATGAGAGGTATACTAATATCCAACAGATAAATCTCTGCATCAGTAGCTGATCAGTAGCCTCCTAAGATTAACTCCTAACTGGCTAGTCTCACTCTAGCGCGCTGTAGAAATATCCACAACTTCCCCTAACCTACAACTTTAATGCTCGACCTCCACAATTCCTGTCAAGGGCAAAAACAAAACAAGAGCAAAATTATTCTATTTCAAATATTTCTGTAGTATTTTTGTGCATATTGATTTTGAAAAAAAAAAATATACAACCCTTTCCTAGGTAAATAAAGAAGGAACGGGAAAACATATGCAGCTATTCTCTTCAAATCAAATGCACAAAAGTCTAGGTTCTATTTTATCCAACGAGAGGCCTGGAAAGTTCCAATGTCACGGAAAAAGAAGATGATTTGTTGATGATTTCCCTCTTCCTATTTACAGTCGTCTCGTGTCCTTCCTTGTATAGTCTGTCAATCTCCTCCACCTAAACGCCAAGAAAGAGAGAGCGGGAACTGGGTTAGGTAGTAAAATGAGCTCTTCAAGCTCACCTGGTCGATCTCGAGGAGGAGAAAAGGAACAAAGACCAAGGACTTTTGACACTGAAGCGAAGAAGATGTGCTGGGCCAAGGCGGAGACTGTACCTGGTCGACATCCCGAACGCTGGCGCAAAGATTCCGCCGGAAACGTCGTCTGTAAACGCTTTGCCAATTGTCAAGGCTGCCTTTGCTTTGAATATGACCACATTATTCCCTTCTCCAAAGGTCCCTCCTATTTATTACCAGTAGTTTGCTAACATAACTGTTCTACATATTTCCGTATTTTTAGCTGATTCACTCTAGTAGCCAATAGAGGCCGGATTTGAACTTTATTATTTTGAGTTCGGGATTCTACAACTCATTTGATTTACTGAGTTAGAGATCAATTATTTGTTTATTTTCTTAACGCATACACAAGGTCCAAGCCGAAGCTACTAGGTTCAGATGAACCCATAACTTATACTCTATGTCTGCCCCTTGTAGCTGACCTTGACTAATTTGTTCCTGAACATTCTTTCATCAATTTGAGATTAAGGATTAGTTGATTGCTTATTATTGTCAAAGTGAATCATTACTGTTCAAGCAAAATGAATTGGACTCGGAGTTGATACATAGGATTCATGTGGTCAATCCTAGCTAGTTTGGAATTGGGGCTTTATTGATTTTGTTATTACCATAGTTAACCATTACTGCCCAAGTGGAACGAACTGAGCCCAAATAGAGCGGATTAGATATAGAGGATTCATATAAACAAACTAGTTTGAAATTGAGGGCAGGGGTGGAGCTAGAAGCCCGAATATAGGTTTAGCTTTTATTCAAACAGTGTATTTCTGTTGAGAAATTCATTATGTACAGATATTAAATTTCAAATGAAGTCGTCGTACTAAAGTTAAGAATCCCTTCAAGTTGAAATCTTGGCTCCGCCTCTGAATTTGAGGGATAGTTGATTCTGTTTTCACCTAAATGTAATGAAATGGACCTTAATAATAGGGAATGGATATAGATGAATCTTATAGGCAGCTTCAACAATTGGGATTGAGGGGTATTTGATTGTTTGATTGATCTGATTCACTCCTAAACTGATTTTGGTTTTTTCTTGTTTAGTGATTTTAATCATTTGGAGAGAATATTAACTGATGAAAAATCCTGCTTTTCTATTATTTTTTTTTGCATCTGGTGGTTGGGCGGGAGGAGTGAGATGGGTCCATTGAATTTTGATTCGGTGGTCAATACATGGTTGTTGCACCATTTTACAATGTGTTTCCTTATGCAGGGGGTGAGTCCATAGCGGAGAACTGTCAGATCCTTCAAACAAGGGTGAACAGGCTTAAAGCCAACAAGGATGAGATTGATATTAGTCAGTTAAAAAGCTACTCCTGCGATATCAAGTTCACTGGTATTATCCTGATCTTTCCCTATTTGTTCTGCCTCTATCACTTGTCACATTATCAATCTTTATGGTTTCTGGTCTAGCATCTCCAATGGAGAGCTGTGAGCTAAATAACAGTTCTGTTCTCCCGTAGCCTCTTAAGATTAAAGTGCGTCATTTCCGTGGTAATTTAGAAGTTTAAGTTTCTCTATCTGGATTACAGGATTACTACTGATTGTAATTCTATAATGATCTAATTGTTGTCTGAGATTGAAGTGTAGTTATACTTCTTGTAATATTTTATTTTCATGGTGGTTTTCAGGTATTCATGTGTTTTCAGGTTTAACAAGATAATTTACACACTTCATAAATGGAGATATAGTGATACAATCACTTAATATGGGAGGCAAATTATTTTGCATAACCATTAAAGAATCATGTGAAACATTGCTATTGTCACGGTATTTGGTTTGAACCTAAGTTGCATTTTCTTGGTTGTCATTGTGATGGTTCTTGTGGGGATGTCTTGCTCAGATTAACGCTTTTCCGTTCGGTACTCTCTTGGCCCATGTAAGGTCTCATTCTGATAAAAGAATTTCATCAGAGGGGCAGTATGCACGCTGTCACATTAAGATTAATCTTTACTGTATGTCTTTTTAGGTCTCCTACAGCCAGCAGTAGTTGGAGAAGGTTTTTGGTTTAAAGCTGGTCTCTGAATCCAAATAAAAGTTTGGTTAGAATTCCAAGTCCTAGTTCTCGTCGCATAACCCTAGTGAGAAAGCATGATGTGAAAGCAGGAGAATCTTTGCAACAGAACACAAGTAATATAACTGTTTTTCTTTTGTGCGAACGTGGACGTAGACTATTCTTCCCAAAATATGCAGATCTTATCTTTTTTGAGATTATTCTTGTCAATCTAGAACCTAACAGGGATAAGATTTTTCCCTTGTAGAAGATCAAGCGAAGAGCCTATAATTAGTCCACCTAGAAGGGTTCCTTTGTCATGTTAGCTAGACATAACGTAAATACACATAGAGGTTCTTTATCTTGGTAGATACTGCCTCAGTTCCTCAGAATTTGATCCCTGCTATATTAGTCTGTGCTACCATCTATATATAATCTTCTCACAAAGGATAGAACCAATAACTTTTGCTTGGCTCTCTCAACTAGTTAGACCCCTTTCTGAAGTTGTGCCAGTCTTTCACCTCCACTTATTTTCCAAACTCTATATTCTGCTCTTTCACAATAAGTATTACAGAGCTTGCTGTGTGAAACAATAGCTTAGGCAACGTCAGATTATGTAACTGATAACTAACTGGTGAGTTCTTTTTTTTTTTTTTTTCATTTTTTGTGGATAAGGTAACCTTGGAACTGTTTGGGACTGAGGCGCAGTTGTTGTTAAATAAGGTATAATGGAATTGGTAAGTATAGCAACAACAACATACCTAGTATTATCCCACACCGTGGTGTCTGGGAGGGTAGTGTGTACGCAGACCTTACCCCTACCTTGGGAGGATAGAGAGGCTATTTCCAATAGACCCTCGGCTCAGGAAAGTATAAGCACCATATTAATGAAAATATAGACAAGAAGGGACAGTACCAAAAGCCATATAAAAGCAGAATAAAAACAACAAGATAGTAAGGTGATCAACAATGAAGGAAACAACGGTTAGTCATAAAAACCTACTACCAACGGAAAGCGAGACTGCGTGCCAATACTACTGTTATGAATACTCTAGACTACCTACTGTACTACCCTAATCCTCGACCTCCATACCTTCCTATCAAGGCTCAGGAATTGGTAAGTATAGAGGATCAGTAATACGTTCTTTTATACAATTTGTGCAAATACAGATATTCTTGTCTGAGAGGTAACCTGTGGAGACTAAAAAATGCACAAAGCATCGCGCATTCACGTAGGGTCCGGGGAAGGGCTGCACCCCTAGGGGTGTGATGTAGACAACCTACTCAAATACAAGCATTAATGGCTGCTTCCGCGGCCCGAACTCGTGACCTATAGATCACACGGAGATAACTTTACCGTTGTTCGAACTCTCCCCTTCAATAGTATATGGTATAAGATTTTCTATGAAATCTAGCAAAACTTCACCAACCTTAAGGTCCCTTAAGATGTGTAATTGCTTAAGTTATCCTTTCCCACTTCACACAGAAAATGGCATATAAATTTGTATACTGACTGCATGGTCATTTTTTTTTTCTTGCAGTAATATTTTACTAATATTTGCCATGTGCCTTGGGCCATGCAGATAAGGAACTCGATGTAATTGAAATGGCTGTTTATGGGGATGTTATCCGCCCTGGAAACCAATGTCGTTGTAGAACTGTTGCAGAACTACTAGGCCAATACAAGTCAAAGAACCCAGCTGCTCCCTGCAAGTTACCATATGCTGATGAATCCTTGTAGCAAAGGAAACTCAGGGCTGGGTATAAATTTCTGCAACAACTACTGCTTATGCCTTAGTCCCAAACAAATTGGGTGGGCATACATTCCTCCAACAACATCTACGCCTCAGTCCCAAACAAATTGGGTGGGCATACATTTCTCCAACTTCAATTTTAATTTTCTAGAAGTCATTAATATGTTGCATTTCAAAAGCTTTAAGTAGAGTTTAAATTCTTATGTAGCTCAGCAGCCTATTGAGTGGATTGTTGTTGACTTGGTGGATAACTGTGCCACATTGTGAAGTTAAGTGTCGCGAGTGAGTCTCAATGACATTCCTTGAGATGGAAGGCAAATAATTCTAAAGCCATTTGCAACAGCAGATCTTGTTTCGTGACCTTCCGATTCCTCAAATGGATTAGTATGACAGGATTCATATAGCTAATCCTGACCAGTTCATAGAGAGTCTATTAAACCTAAAAACACAGACCAGCAAACTTGTTTGTTTTTGTCAGTTTGTTCAAGTATTACTACGTGTTCAGTTTGGCTTCAATTATGAAATGCCAGGACAAAAATAAGCCCAAACAATCTACAACATAATGCGTTCCTCCAATGGAGAGAATTAGTTGTAGCTACTTTTTATTGCATGTTGAATACCTAATCCAAGAAACATGCTATTATTATTTTGAGGGTAGCTGTCTACATTATTACTACTAATTATTTCTAGAGACCTATAGTTCCTTCTTTCAGTTGAATTTATGGAGGTTTTCCAAATCAACCTGCAAAATTTAATTAAAATTCACGTTTCTTGGTCCTTGATGTACGATATATATCATATAACTAGTTAATAGCCTGCGCTTCGTGCGGTCCTCAAGATTAATTATATTATAATTTTATTGACATCCTCATATTTTTATTCAAATAATATCATAGCTGTATCTCAAAAGCATTCAATATATTATTAGGGAAATACTACTCTTTGAACAATCTTATCTTTTGCATATTCTCCAGCGACAATATTTTCTTACTAACGTAATTAACTGGGATTTGTACTGGATAAGCCCTTAGTAAAACCCTCCCTATCAACTACCAAGAAGTTTTATACTGTAAATAAAATTTAAATGCAACTTTTATATATATATATATTATTTTTAAGAATACTAAATATAAAAAGAAGCTGCTAACATGTGTTTGGTACTGGTTGCATGAAAAGCTCAACATTTTATCGTATCAAGTCAGCCCTCTTTCAAGAAGTAACAACTGTACCCGTCCATTAAATATGCCAAAAGTGAGAATTATGCAGGAAAAAACTTTTGCGGAAAGAATACAAAAGCTGAAATTTGTTGGAGTATATCTGTGTGAACATAGGATTTTATCTCCTCATCTGCAAATGAAAAACTTGTTTTCCTTGCTAAGTTTGCCCCTCTTAAGTCAAAAATGAAGTCTTTCTTCTAAATCAGGTGACCATTCTTTGATGGTGCCTTCATACATTAATTTTTTTTTTTTCATACTAATCTACCAACAAAGAAAGCGAAAAAAGGACACCAATATTGATCTAGCTAATGGATATTGGACAAATATAATATGATAATCTTACATCTTGAACTCTGTCTCTCGTGATATTTCCATCTCTGTTGCTATCCACCCTACAAGAATCAGACGTATAGAAGAAGAAACGATAATGAAGAGATCTTAAAAGACATTACTTATGAATCTAAATACATTTTTCATGTTAGTAAACTCACCGAACTCGTAAAGAACTCACACATTTACAGACCCAAAAAAATTAATCCAACCAGCTAAGCACCATGCTACCACCCTGAAGTTCAATGCATATGAATAAAAGCAACTTAATAACAGAGTAATAAAACAACATCAATAAAAATAATAAAAAGACTTTATTCTAAATTTTACAAATAAAGAAGACGTGAAAAAAGATTTCCCATTTAATATTCTTATTACCTTGATATCTTGAAATACCCTTTTCCTCTTTTGTTATTTTTCTTGTATTTGTCTACCCATCATTTTTGCTATCTCATATCTATCATTTTCCATCTTGATATTTTTTTCTCATATAGTTTCACCTTTTCTATATTCATTCCAACATTATATTTTTCTTCGCTCTCTTTTTCGGTGCTTAACTTTTTCTTATTTCTTTTTTAGTATTCACACCCTTCATTCCTTCAGAAAGGAAATATTATCTTTGCTTCTTAAATACTCTTAATTATACCTCCCTCCCTTCTTATTCTTTCTCCAACATCTCCTTTTTAGATCATATGAACCGATAAAGTACATAGCTACTCTAATGTTTCTCAAGACTTCTTCTTGATTAAAGCTTATTTAATGATCTTGCTCTTATAATTTGATATGCCTCCTTCAAATTTCAAGTAGTGCGAGTGGATATGCTGTTATTTTTAATTGGATTCAAGTGAATATAGAATTTACTGACCAAATGTATTGAAGCACCTAATAGCACATAACTATTTCAACAATAATAAAATTGATTAGTCAATATGGTAACAGAAAAATCTTCTGTATTAGTAATTAAACAAAAGATCAAAGCCTAACAAATGAATGGATCCTAGCAGTGCCTGATTAATTTATTTTAGAAACAAAAAAAGAAATGCAAAGAAAATAATATTTCACTACTACATTTTTGTGATAGTTGGGATTATAATGGAAGCAAAAAATCAGCTGGAACGATTGCAACCTTCTCCCATCACTCTAATGCTCGATTCATCATTTTTCTTCCAATCTTTATCTATTTTTATAAAGCAGCTTTCAGTAAATACTATAAATTGCAAAAAAGATAAAATAATACATGGATAATTTGATGTTGAAAGTAAAATTTAGATACTAAAATATTTTATAAAATATATTAAGAGTAAATCAGAATACTTTTTTACTTTCGTAGTATTATTTTCTTTACGTATTCATACCTTTCAACCTCTCTTGAAAATTAAAAGCTATTATCATTGAAAATTCATACCTTTCTCTTACTGCCACATAACGACATATACTTTTCTAGTTCCCACTCCCTCAGCCCACTCTCCGATCAACAGGTACAAGAAAAACAATTTTTCTTTATTGAGAGTTTGAATGAAAAGTAGAAAAATATTATTAATGAAAAAAAAGAAGAAAGGTATGCAATGAAAAAGATGTGCTTTAGTATTTATAGTGACCAATGCAATGAGTAACGTACATTCGATATATGAATAGAAACAATAACGTACAATGAATAATTGTGGTAGAATTAGTATTGAGGTATTAATTGTAATAAATTAGAGTAGTAATTGCTGTAACCGTTGGACATTTTTGGGAAGAACATGACTTTTGAGAAAATAATTAAATAAAAATATAAATAAATGGAAACAAATAGGGGGAAAATGCAAAAAAACAGGAAAGAAGATAAATTATAATCCTCATCTATGGAAGGTGCCACATCACCTTTACTATTCTATATATATATATATATATATATATATATATATATATATATATATATATATATATATAGATGTGAGTAGTGATACTCTTCGTCTACAAAATAATTTAATAAATACTTACCAACATTCTGTATTAACACCCAGCCATATAAATTAACTAGGTTATCTATATCTATACTATATTAAAAGCACGAAGACCTTAGCCAAATGTCGTTCGTATTTTTTAGCCTTTTAAAATAGAGTTTATATTGTACAAATTAGTCATTTGATTATTTTCCTAATATTTAGGAATAATTATTTAATTATTTTTCTAATATTTAGAAATAATCATTTAATTATTTCCCATATTTAGGACTTAACTTTTCAATTCCTTACCATTCTAGGATTCCTGCACTTTTCCATTTACACTAGATTTCGACCACTTTATAGTTATTTAGGCTTAGGAAGGGCATTTTTTATAATAAAATTTGGCATATTGATATTTTATAGAAACGTATTAGGATATATTAGGTGAAAAATGAGCACTTTAAATTCCTTTTCGATGTAGGAGTCTTTATTTTTAATAAAGATTTTTTGTATTTGAATTAAATACACGATTTTACTTACATAAATTCATTCCTTATTTATATTATGTAATATAACATAATTTCTTCCATATTGTTTTACCTAATTCTAGATCTATCTATCTATTTATATTTATATTTATCTATCTATCTATACTATTTAAAAGCACGTAGTCTCTTAGCGAAATATCGTTTTCCTTTTTTAGTCTTTTAAAATAGAGCTCACATTAGACAAAAAGTCATTTATTATTTCCTTAATTTAATAATTTTTCTAATGTGAAACTTTTCCTTACTTGAAGTAGATTCTAAAAATTGATCTTTGAATACCACACAAATTCTCGCTCGAACAAGAATCTTCCCTCTTTAGCGTGATTCTATTATTAATTTAAATATATCTCTAATCTCTCACCTTAATGATGATAGGCTATAATTGCGTATTTTAGTCGCTTATTACACTCTAATTTATTGTACTTTAATTGAGTTTGAGCTTTAATCGTTAGTGTTTTGCACTAACCTTATGCCTTGTAGGAGTGATTCCGAGCTATATAGATGTTATGGAATGAATTCTAGTGATTTGGAGCTTTGAAGTCTGAGTAAAATCTCAAGGAATTAAGCCGGGATCGTGTTTTGGGGTCAAATTTGAAGTTAAGAACAAACGAAGACTCGAGTAGGTATATTGCACAATGTCTAGTAAAATGCACATAACTTTTCACTCAGAACTCTATTTGGGCTCCATAATATATGGTAGGAAAGTTAACTCAAAGGGCTACAACTTTAGTGTTTTACGTTTTTCCAAATTTCAAACGGAACAGGATAAAAAATGCGGTCGAAACTGCGACCGCGGACCTGGACGCGGACTGAGGCAGTGCACTGGGAAAATACTGCGCCCGGACCACGACCGCGAGCGTCAAGATCTGAAAAATTGTCCTTTTTCGCGTATGAGAAGGCATAATTATTTGGGCACAACCCTACTTGGTATATATACATGGAAGAACGGTATTTTGAGGACCTTAGACATACTTTTGACATAATTTAGACCTAAGGAGGCTAAGGAGACCGGGGATTCGACCTAAGGATTCAAGAACACACTAGGAGCAAGGCGGAGAATTCTTCTACAAGTTTTTCACTTCCTTCTTCCTATTTCCATTATTGGTTATGACTTTTAGAATTGTAGTTTTACATACTATTATGAATAGCTAATTTGTTATCTAGGTTTTTGATAGAACCTTTTGTATGATGAATTCTTGTTATGTTTTAATATAGTTTAGCCTTTGAATGTATCTATTTGTTCAGCTACGTGTTTATTTCAGTTGATTGAATGGCCATCGATTGACTGTGCCTATTTATTATGTGTTGCTTGAGAAAGAATACATGTTTAGGTGGTTGTTGAACAACGTCACTCCTAACGTATGTGAGAAATCAATACAGCGGGTTTAAAGGCAGGTTTAGAAAAAAAAAAGCCTTGACGTGGTCATAATGAGCGGTTAGATAAAGTCAACTAGCGTAGTTCGAGAGAATATGTCTAGTAAATTATTGTAGTTGCTCGAGAGAGAATTACGGCACCTAAAGTGCTCACGATCAGTAGAGAATACATCAGCGAAATTGTAGGGAACATAGCTATAAGGATTCCGACAATTGGGAAAATCATAACTCTAGACCTCCTTAATTTAGTCTCCAACCCTTTGTCTCGCTAGTTGATAATTTTATCGCTTTGTAGTATTTGCTAGTTAATTAGTTAGAAATATAAATCTCAATCTTTATAATTTAGAAAATTATTCAAACTTGTCTTCTTAGTGATATTAAACAGATATAGCTAAGCCTTAGTTCTCTGTTGGATTCGACTACGGACTTTTAGACCGGATTATATTTGCAGCGACCTCTTATCTTTTTTAGAGAGTTGGGCGTGATCAAATTTTGGCGCCGTTGCCAGGGTACTAATGGTGTAGTTGTAGCTGTATATATTGCTAGTTCGTGTTTGAACTTTTAATTTGTTTTTGTTTTGTTTCTTTGTATTTTTATTTTTATTTTATTATAACTGATGATTTGAGAAACATGACATCTTGGAATTTTGGGAATTTAGGTGTAGATAGTTCTACTATTGATCCTTATACATATTGTGAAGGAAACCACCCGTATAAAAATTATCAAAATATTCCCGAGAGTGAGTTATGTGCACCAACTCAATCTTATTTGTGGAATGTGTGTGATGTGTGTGGTGGTAAAAATGGTCACTTTCATGGTTATGCTTATATTTCTTATCTTTTCCCAACCCCTTACTATGATGGTTCTACCTTTTCTTGTGAAGTTAATAGGAATAAAGAACCTGGGGATGCGGACCTGAAGGAGATCAAGGATATGTTAAAGTGCCTTCTGGAACAAAATAATGAGAAACAATTACAGATAGAAAGGCAAGAGGCAACTATTCGCAACTTGGAGGCTCAAGCGAGTCAAGTGGTTGAAGCTTTTAATGCTCAGCAAGCCAATTTTGGGGATAGAAGCCAAGAAGAACGTGAATTTGAGGTGCTAACTGAGGAGGTCAGAGTAAAGCATCAACAACCTAGCCAACTACAATTTGAGGATGTCGATGTTGGGGACGTGAGACTAGAGTCAGCCAAGGACATTGAGGATATAAATTTTGTTGACTCTAGTATCATTGATGTTGAGGATGCTGAAAGTCCTGAAGTTCATGTGTGTGAGCGCATTGGTCCTCACTCCAAACATTTTTCTACATTGTGCTTGGATGACGATATGGAAATAGAGTCATCCGATCCGATTGAGAAGTCAAGGAATGAGGAACAAGGTGCCTACATTATGGAATTTTTCTTGCCAGAAAGACAGGACTACATACCTCATCAAAAAGCCAAGAAGTGTAGAATAATACAATGGTTGCTTGGGCCAATTAGATTTGTTCCTCCACCCATGGAGCATAGTCGAAAACTTGATGCCAAATTGGGGGTCCAATTCATAAGCTCAAGGTGGAGGCAGAAAGTGATTCACGTCGTGCCGCGACGTTAAATCAAGCGCTTGTTGGGAGGCAACCCAGCTTTATTGCTTTCTTTTATTTTTTTTATTTCTCTAATTGTATTATGTTTGTAGTGTCAATTTTTTATTTTCTAGGAGCATGGAAAGCAAAGCTATTGGAAGGATGCAACAGCAAACCAGATGGTTGGAACTAAGTGTGAGGTACCCGCACGAAGGACCAAGCTCCGGAGAAGTCTGAGTACCCCATGAGCTGCTAGAGCTTCAGCTTTTGGCCTACCAGGGAGTTCCTTTTACCCTCTTATAGTTATGATGTGCATTGGGGACAATGCACAATTTTAAGTGTGGGGTGAGGAGATTTTTGGGTGACTTTCTATGCTACTTTAGCTGTGTTAGTTTAATTGAATAATATTTTTTTTTAAAAATATGGGACTTTTCCCGATGATGGATCTATTAGACAATTTTCTTGAGGGATTTAAGTCCAACTGTGACGACCCAAAGGGTCATCACCTATTTTCTCACTCATTCTATGTCTCCGAGGCCTTGAAAACCTCATTTAAGCTTGCCTCGATTTGCGTGCGCAGTCCGGGCGCGTAGCCGGAAAGCTTAAATATAAATTCTGTGTAAAAATTGATGAATTTTGATATTAATATGAATAAAGTTGACTTTGATCAATATTTTGGGTAAACGGACCCGGACTCGTGATTGGACGGTCCCGGAGGGTTCGTAGAAAAATATGAGACTCGGGCATATGCCCGAAGTCGAATTCCGAGGTCTAGAGCCCGAGAAATGAATTTTTCTGTGAAATTATTTTTTTGAAATTAATATGGAAATTTGAAAAGGAAATTGATTAGAACGTGTTGGTATCAGGCCCGTATTTTGGTTCCGGTGCCCGGTACAGGTCTTATATGTGGTTTAAGCGCTTCCTGTGAAATTTGGTTGAAATTGGACGTCATTTGAGGTGTTTCGAACCTAAATATCTAGAAATGAAAGTTTATGAGGTTTGTAGAAAAAGTGATGATTTTGAGGATTGATTCCTCGTTTATGATGTTATTTTGGCGATTTGATCGCACGGTTAAGTTCGTAGGATGTTGTCGAGTTAGTGTGTGTG